GAGTTATTGTCAATTAAAATTTCAGACTTACAGAATTGAAATATGTCGCATTTTATTATTATTTTGGTGTTAACAATAAGTGAACCATCTTCCTATTTTGTAAGCGTTAATGTTGAAGTGTCGGTGTACACTTGAGCTAACCAACTTGAACCATAGCAGACGTTTGCAGTGGACCTACAACGGAAATTATGTAGTTGCTACGAATATTTTGCCTAATTACGGACGTGCAGGATTAGACAAAATTACTGCGGACATTTACCATAGGTCTAGACCGATAAAGGTTTAAAGTCCAGAACAAATGACTTTTCCACTCGGATCTTTCGTTAAATTGTCTCAGACAACTCATATTCTAAGATTATATAAATGAATAATAAATTATAGGGAAAACTAAGAAAAAGTTGCCCGTAAACCTTCACTGTCCCGTTTGTTTGAAATTCTACAGCTGTTATTATCCTGACGGATATTCGAAGACTTGATTAGAGAAATGCATTTTACTAAGTTGAGAAGCCTGCCATAGGCATATTCAATATTTGAATTTATTATATTTAAAGCAAGTTAATATTATTAATTGAAAATTATAAAGAGAAATATTTTCCCGCCAAATAATAGACATAAAAACATTGGTCTCACCCCAATTAAAGACCTATTTTGTGTGGTTCAAATTGGACGCCTATCTTTCATCATTAGATGTTCCCTCCACTTAAAAACTGACCAAAGACCAGGGTTTTGGTGGACGACCCAACGGAAAAATCTCCCTCATTTAAGATCACATTGAAAAAATGATTTTGATGCAGTTTTCCTTAATTTTCTCAAAATAATGAACATCATGATTATGTTTTGTATAATACAGTGCTTCATTATTGAATACCGATAGTGATAGCAGGACGGTGTATACGTAATGGAGAGTTTAGAAAAATGTGTGCAGGACTTGATGTCTCTGGCTACCAAGAAATGATTAAGAATCAATAACAGCATGCAGTAACTGTACATTCATTCAAAACACTTGGAACAAAATATTCAAACTTATAATGTATCTATATTATAATTACGCTTATTGCTTATGATCACAATGCAAAACCGAGGACCTTAATAAGCGTCTGGGATTCGAAACCTACCGGTCTGAAAAACTGAAACAACATATATCATCAATCAAAGTCAAGATCTCACGAAGTAAATATCGACGAACCTCTCCTAACTTCCCCAGTCACCCCCCACCCCAACGTAGATCTGCCACTGTAAAGCTGTTGAATTTGCATATTTCTAGTCATTCCTCACTACAGTAAATAAAATAAATAGTAATGTGAAACAGTAGCTACAGTATATACAGGTGTACGAATTCATACTAGCAATTTAGAACCTTCAGATTTAATGACAGTAGTTTTGTTCATTTTGCAGTTTTTTTTCTAAACTAAAAGAAATAATACAGGAATATGTGTAGAATACATATACATTAATTTGCAATGCTGACTCCACACATAGAGGAATAAATTAATTTTATTCCTCCATGTTCCATAGTAAGCTATTTAATTGCTTCATGTTTAACGGAACACATAGTGACAGCAGATGTTCATGCATTTTATAGTTATACATTTTATTTCAAATTACTGTACCATCAATTTTGCCAGAACAAAATCGATCATTTAGCTTCTGCGTGATTCACTATACTATTAAAAGATAATGGTTGTAGTTGTTGCTGCTAATGTTATTACCTTTGCCAATGAAGTTAAGTCTGTCTCTCTATCGTGCTGTCTTCTGTATGTTAGCAAGATCACGCAAAAACCAATGAATGGATCATCATAAAATTTTGTGGAATGGTACATAATAATCGAAGAAAGGCACCATCCAAATTTTTTGCAAGAAAAGGTCAAAGGACAAGTTTCTATTATTTTCCTGAGGGTATTCTGCAGCACTAAAGAAAATAATGTGGCTGAATACGAATGGCGATTCAATTATTTCATTGAGGGTTGCTGCAGTTTTACACATTATACACAGCCTGCGTATTGTTGGTTTGGTAGTCAGGAACAGGCGAAGGTACGTACTCTATGGAGTAACAGCTCTATTATTATTTAAGAATTTTTTACATAATTGCAAGGCATTCGGAGTTTTTCCTAAATACATTTTGTAGGCGTAACATGGTGTTTTTGAATATGCTTACGTTTACCTTTTTTTATTACATTTAAAAGCAATAATTGCAAATGTAATGTTTTATTGTCAACATTTACAAATCAAACCGTTTGAAAACAACAAAATTCGCAAAGAAGGTACTACGCTTGAGAACGATGGGCAGATAAGATTGGTTTGCAGATAATCTAAATGGTAATATATACACACAGTGGCTACCACCAGTTTAGGAAACTGAGATATGCTGCTTTACTTAATCCAATCCAATCCAACCAAGGAAACGGATGTAAACCGATAAAAAATTAAAACAAAATACACACTGTGTGAACCACTTCTACTATGATTTATTGCACAGTTTTCAAGGTATCTAACAATATTTGTGAATATCTCAACAATATAATATACAACCGATTAAAAAAAAAATCTAATGTTGTACATTCCAGATTCAAGTTACGTCAACAATACAGTGGGTAAAAATGTGTGCTGCAAACATATTTCCCGCCTATGGAAAAGTGTTGCATATTATGTCGTACTTTAGACGTAATCATGCGACAGTACATCATATACAAATATGAATAACGTATGCAATACTGTAAATGCATTTTGTGTGCTAAACATTGTCCATAACCCTGTGCACGTACCAAACACCTTTGAAGGCACTAACAATTAGTAAGTTGGGGTGTGTTGTACATGCATCGCTAAGGTATTTTAAGCCTGCGAACAGAAGCACTACACTTTATTAAAATAAACATCATAACATACTATGATTGGTCACATATTATCATATAATCTCTTAATGATAATAATAGCATAAAAAATCTTAATTACGGTATATTTATGTACTAGTAGCTTGCGTTACAAATTCAACCATGGTGTAGTTTACACAACCAAAACATGATTAAAAAATAAAGTCTAGTAATCCTAGTTTTTATTATAAAATAAAGTCTGGCAATTCATGTTATTAACAAAAGAAATAATAAATACATTAATAATAATAGTTATAAATTTAATAGTACAAATAATTAAAAAAAGGAATACATAACAGTTGTATGTAGGAGTGTAACAGATACAAATAAAAGATTACACAGAGACAAAAAAAGATATACCAATTATGTCAGTTACGATTTGGTTGCACACATTTTACCTTCTAAAATGGCAAAAATCTTATAACAAGATAGCATTCTCCGAGATTTCAGCTTGCAAATTCTGTAATAACGCAGTATATGACGCCCTCTTGAAATTACACTACTTTTGAACTTTGACATCTATGATCTAAGTGCAAATTCTAGAACAATCATGGTAACAACTTGGACGCCCTCTCCCAATTACAATTAATTTTTTTGCTTTCTGCGTGAATGGACACTTCTAATTTATTACATGCAAACTGCGGAGAGCGCTATCTTGTTATTATAAGATCTTTGGTTCACGGGCATACCTGTAGGCTGGGGAAGGGGGTTGCAGATCCCAGGGCAGCAAATTAGTTCCACTAAGCAGGTTAAAATATTAAAAATGACTAGTAAGTTATCATTTGTATAGAAATTTAGTTCCACATTCTGGGATTAAGTTCCGCATCCTCATTTTTCGCAACCCACAGGCCATAACCAGCCTACACCCCTGGGGTTTGACTGCACTGACAGGTTAATTAGTATCATTTTTTATAGGAGAAAACCTATGTTTTTTTAAATTTTTGGATTCAATACATTCCTACACTCTTCAGTATAACAGCCTCAAATCAATTAGCAGCATCATCAGCTCAACTATCAGTAACCATAGATGATACTGCCATTAAATAATAATAATTTGAATAATAATAATAATAATAAACAGATAGATAAAGCCAAAAATGTTTAAAAAGTAATTAAAAAAATGAAAAGGCACAATAAAGTGTAATAAATTTTGAAGTTGACAACAACATAATACTGTTTTCTTTTTTTCCAAATTTGGGTGGAATCAAACCACAACCTTTAGAGTTACATAGAATTAGCTTAGCTTAGAATCATACCAATAAACTACATGGTTTGTGCTGGTGACTAGGGATTGATCCCCAACACCTAAAAGTACTACAATGCTGATATACAGTAATTATACTACAACAGAATTATTTTTTTAGCTCCGAGGAGGAGCTCTAAGAGTATCTCATTGGTTAATAGAGTCTTTTTCGGTCATTGGTTAATAGATCTTTTTTGGTCATTGGTTAATAAATCTTGTTGTTATGGCCAATATACTCTATTGCCTCTATTATACTGCCCTCATTGGAGTTTTCGAGATTATGAGAACTTGTTTGCATGAAGAAAGTTCAACAGAGATACTAATTTCCTTAAAACCTGACATGCCATGGGTGGGTGAATGTTGGCTGTCAAAAAAAACACTAGAATGAAGCTTTCCAGAGTGTCAATCAAACATAACATCTGACCAATCAGAACTGGAATAGGAATACAAGGTTGGTGACCTTAGCAACAATATCCAAGGGGTGGGGCTTAACAGCAAGGTCTTTCCTACATGATTGAGCCCAGGCTTACAGTTAAAGAAAAACAATTTCCTGTTGAATGACCGACCCTGATTTCCAAATGAGGCATGTCATGGCGAAATGGTTAAGTTGTCGCACAGACCAGTATTGAGAAAATGAGCTTTAAAATATGGAAGCTCAAAAAAGTTCCTAAAAATCCAAACTTTAGATCAACAGTTTATTGTCTTATTAATCATGTACCAAAGTTTTAGTTCTGGAAGTGGTCAACAAATTGTTTATTTAATGTTATTTTGATAGTTTATTCTATTAAACAACGTATGCACAAATAACTTTGAAAGGCAATTACTAAAAATTATGTTTATCTTGATTCTAAGAGTACTGTACTTTCACTTTCCAATAACTTTAGGCTTGGAATGTCCAATTTCAATGAATGACCCCTCACTTTAAAGATCACATATTCAGGTATCTGAAAATACCAATAACTTGAATTTCAATTTTTGCTACAACTTAGCCATTTTGCCACAACATGCCTCAAATGAGACTGTAACTGGTCAACACAATAATGTTTGGCATTTGTATATTATTATCGTTACTTTCTCTATTACTTCCAACAAAAGCTACTGATGAAGTTACTTTTGTATAGTAAAATATTACTTGATACAATCTAAAATACTTGGTTTTTCCCTGGAAGATCAAGAATCAAGGTACTATGTACAGTATTGTTGTATTGGTTATTCTACATGATATATTAGGACAGCAATTTCATAAGAGAATCAAGAAAAATAAGCTATTGAATCTAAGTCAAAGCCTCACCCAAGCATCAGGAGTTGGAGTAGCAATCCCAGCTGCCTAAGTCACAACAATGCTTGTTGAAAATGTAAACACCCTTAGCATTCGCTGGGATACTTTCCTACCAACTGACTACAACAATGAACTTCATTCCTCAATCCACATTCGCTTCATACCACACTCGCAGCAAAACTTAGCGTTAGAAACAGGATAACGTGTTCCACACTCGTGACAAAATCGTGACGCTCGTCCACCAGAGCTCTGTCTAGATGACGTTGATGAGCTTGACCTACAGGCAAAGAAAATGTATTGTTAGTTATGAGTCTTACTAGTCTACAAATTAAAATTCTGTACCAGTATCGCTTTGGTCAGGACGTAATCACTACAAATTTTTAACATTTGTATGTAAAATATATTCAATATACATATGGACAATGGACATTTATTATTATTATTATTATCATTATTATTATTATTAATATTATTATTATTATTATTGTTATTATTATCATCATTATTAGTAAGTCACTATAAATATTCATAATAAGTTTCAAACATACCCTTGTTTCACACATTCTATTAAACTGTTAAACATTTTTTTTAATTATGTGTTTTAGAGAATGAAAAATCCTTACAATATACAACTGTAAATGTCAGCATAAACTCTACATGCTTTTGACAATTTAAAATTTATTCTACATTAAGAACAAAATTCATGTTTCATACTCAGGAACAAATTGTAATTTGAAAATGTTTTCATATTTTTAAGGCCATTCATAACATGTTGCCTAACACAAATGGCATGGTACATGTTTCTCATATTAAATATTGAGAAGTGTAGGCAAAACTCCAAGAAAGATTAGTAAGAATGTTTTTAGTTATTTAAATGTGTTTCTTAAACTGTCATACTCTATACAGTATATATTTATTTTATATTATATTAAAGAAATTAAAATTAAATTTCATTTGCACCACATTATTATTGGGGCCTTTGCAATTTATAAGAGCCTAGGATTTCAAGTCCCTTTTTTTGCATTTTTCTTTATGTTTTTTTGTTGAATTTTGTATATTATTGTGTTTAGGTGAGTTTTTTTTTTTACATTCTGTTTAGTCAATAATTACGATTTAGAATACAAACCAATTTTACTTTTGGCCAATTAACGCACCTGCTGCCACAAAAAAACATTAAAATTTCAGAAAAAAATATTTTCATCTAATTATTTTTATTAAGCCCCTCGCTGCCTTGAAATCTCCAAAATTATGATATTTATATTACTTCCTAATTATATAAATTTAAAGCATTTAACCATTTAATTACTACAATGTTTATATTCACCAATAAAATCCTATTTTTATTTTATCATCCTCTGGATGTTTTTGGTAAAACTATTTGCTAAATAAGAAACACATTTTTTTTTTGCTCTCCTTTGTTGATCTCTAAAAAATTAAGTTTGTGAAACAAGGTATAAAAAAAGTCATGCCTTATAGATATACTTGAAGGTGTTGATTGACTTGAAGGTATTTTTTAAATTAATATTATTAAATCAAAATACAATAAATGTTATCATGAAAGTAGTGATAATGCTTTTAATAAGGACAAAAGAATTTTCGAAAGAAACACATAGTCATGCTGTGCCCCGAAACAATTAGTATGCAAATGTTATTAGTAGGAATAAAAATTCTTAAATGAGTATGAACAATTTTGAGGATGATATAATTATTACTTAATAGTGATACTAGTGAATAGTATTAGTTTACAATAATATAGTTTAAAAATAATAATAACTTTTGATAACTTAATAGTAAAATATGATAAAAAATTTAATGTCAATTTCATTTAATAGTGAAAATAATATAAGCAATTTGCATGCTACATTGTATAAAGGCATGCCCATAACTTTAGTGATCAATGATGCTTGCATGTACGGGTACACTGTTAGTTACATAGAGAAATCAACAAAAATGAGGTTAACACACAAGATGAGGGTAAATATAAACCTTAAAATCTACTGAAAACAAAATCAATAGCATTAAAAATACTTTTCATTTCATAATTATTTTCTAAGATAAATTCCCATCTGTAATAAGGACAAATTTTATTGTATTATGTTCTTCTGTATTACATATACAGAGTAAATTTGTATTAGAAAGCTGTTATGTTTTCGGTAAATAAATAGGCAGCAAACGCTAAGAAGAATGGTAAGGTGGAGAATTCACACAGCAAATATACATGGTTCATAATAAGCATCACATACCCAGCTACTTTTGGTATTGACGGTAATGTTGAGGTCGAGGAAAATGGATTCTTAGATCTGCCACAGCTAAGATGGACAAAAACAAACTGATTACCATATCCACACATAACAAACTACTGTTTTAAAGTGCACTTAGCAAACAGTGACATGTGCAATAAGAAGATAAAACAGATATAGCAGAAATTGTCCTGCTCAAACGAATAAGTGTTTCCTTCCACTTAATTGCTAATTCATAAACACAAGAAGATAACTAAGAGAAAAGTTTAAATTAAATACACAATGAAATACAAATGAAATCGAACAATTTGAAAAAAGTATATAGCACATGCATGTTGCTTGCATAGAAAGCAACATCAATATTCTCCTTCATCATTAATTCATCAACAGGAGATAGATGCTAAGAAGAGTGTTCAGCTATTGAACTACAAGTTTTGGAACTGTAAACTACACAAAAGTGTAATACAAAACTATTAAAATATAAGGTAAAAAAAATTGTTGCATTGCCCACACAAAATGATAATTAAAAACCAAAGTCGTTCAGTAAAATGGTAACCTCCCTGGGCTAAATTCATGGTTAACACGTTAGCTGCCAGCGACGAGTATACTCGCACACGGGTGTTGCTGAGAGTGACAGGGATGGGTAGGTAAAGGTAGGAGAATAACCCATAACTTGCAGCGTCATTGTACTGAATTTCATATGGGCATGGTCCATGATTACTTAGCACCTGTAAATAGGCGCTTCAATTTAGCTACAAGTTCACATCATTCCACAACGACAGGGGCTGAAATGAACTATAACATCAGGGTAACACCCCTAACCTTCTGAAAGATGCCATGTGTTTTTTAAAGTGCACACGAGACAGATGTATACACTGGACCTCCATTTTAAGTCCTTATCCAAAAAGACTTGAAAACCCTGGGCAAGGAGCGACTGGAACCAGCGCTGATGTTAGGGCTGTAGCTAGCGGAGCCTCTGCCTTACCGCTCGCCCACTCTATGAGTATACTCGTCAAAATCAGGGTAACTTCGACTTGCCACTCGACGATTATACTCGTCTAAATCGGGGTAACATTCTAGCGTTTATAACTTCTTTGTTATACATTGTAGAACCACAGACTCAACGGCTGGTAGTTCGCGGAAAATACACCTAGACAATAACGTACAAATGACGTATGTATGTTTGTTGGCTGTGTTATGTTGCCGGTAGTAAACTTGAGCAGCACAAGTGGGGACGCCCTTTGAACATGTACCAACCCATGCAAAAAGCGGACGAGATAACTAGCACTTGGCATAGTCATTAAAAAGAGCCTTCACAGTGCCGTCGACGAGTTTACTGGCCCCCTAATATTTTCTCACCAATTTATTAGTCACATCGTTTTGATGATATATGACTAGATAAAATTTAAAAAAAATATGTTTGTACAAACTTGTTTTGGCACATGGAAAGGAATCTTAAAAAAAGGTCTAGCAGTCAACGTGTTAAAGAATTCAAATGAATGACAATTATTTTTAAGAAAAAAAAAATCCTCAAAAAATCTGACTGTAGATTTTTACAACTTTAGGATAAGCCGGGCTTGAGCAACATAAATATTTTTTTTGCCTAATACTGTAAGCAGTAATATAAAGCCTTTAAAAACAACATGATGTACGGTAATGGTAAGCAGCGCAAAGTGACCTATGATCTTACCTGTCAACAGGTGACAGTACACTATGTCTACTGTCCTTACGATATGAGTTATTATTCAAGTTCTGATAACCAAATCGATCATCGTCGTCGTAGTCTGAATCAGCATACCTACTATAAATTAATCAAATATTAAATTCAAGTATGTGAAAATAATTATTACCCATTTAATGTATTGTTGTACTGAAATTATTTGAAGATTTATTTATAAACTACTGTAACTAATATCATTGTTACTGTAATAATATCCCAAACAATATCATCATTACAAATAAGAGTAGGATTGTAACAAATACTTAAAAGAAAAAGTATATTTATAAGTATAATTATTATTATTTATCTTCATTATTGTTTCTTTAATTTCTAGTAAAAACTCAAAATTCAAACAAAACAAAGAATGTCTCTTTATTAAACAATTAAGTTACCAACTTTCAAAGAGAGATGGTTTACAATTTCTTCACTATGAATTTATTTTATTGATTTTATTAAGTTAAACAATAGTAAGCCATATAAGCAATTTCAAGTTTTAGTTTTCAAAATAAAGTTTTTAACAGCAACTTGCTATATTTGTCACCAAATTGTTCAAATGACCTACTAAACTGTAGGGGGCAGCATCTTGTTTCTTAACCAGTTATTCCATTGACAATAAATTAATTCTAACTTACTGATCATTTTCAGCTCCAAATGGGGAGCTCTAGTAACACTCGGCTGATTGGTTAATTGATCTTTTTTAGATCTACTGCCTCTATTGTACTGCCCTCATGAGGCTGATTGATTAATAGTTGATTGATTTAATAGATCATTTTCAGCTCTACTGCTTCTATTATACTGCCATCATGGGAGCTCTAGAAACACGCGGCTGATTGATTAATATTTGATTTTAGGTCTACTGCCTCTATTATACTGCCCTCATCAAAGCTTTCGAGGTTACGAGAATTTGCTATATGTACTGTACTATGTATACCTTATCCTGTTTCCCCCACTGTTTGATCTCCTCTGTCCTGCAGTTTCTCTTGTTGAAGTAGTCTTGCGGTCTAAACTGTTACTTCTTTTCTTTAGATTCAAACCATTCACTAAAGCAGAAAACAATATTAAACAACCACTTTATATACTGTACAGTACTATGATTTCATTGGTTTTCACTTATTCCAATGCAAATGATGACATAAACAACCCGATTTTATAATTATTGCACACAACCCATAACATCTACAGGGTGTACTTAAAGTATACCTAGTCAATGTTGCTATAATTGCACTTGAGTGTACTAGCTAATAACCATAAAATTAGCTTTGAAAAAAATCCCCATCGACTCCGATCACAAATTTTCTTGAGCAGCATAACAATTCTATTTACCCACATGGCAAGCCAGGGAGAGGAGTTTCACACGTGTTGCTGTTACATTTCAATTTTTATAATGCTGTTTTTATCTTGTATCTTTGATGTTGAAATTTTAATGAATTGAATGGATGCTAAATAAATAAAATTAATTAGACTAGGAAAAAAATTTAAAAAGAGGCCTAGAAATCAAGTTAGGGGGAGTGGAATGTTAGAAGTAGTCAATATAGCCAGATATCCTAATTAATCCGTCCTGGTCACCCTAAGCCCTGTTGACACTTGATTTTTCACCTGATATACAAATGGCAGCCATTTTGAAAAATGGCCGCCAAATTTATCTAAAATGTGCATATAATTGGAACTAAATAAGCTACAGATATGATGTTGGTGTCTAAAATCATAATTTCTATACAGGCAACAAACCAGACATAAAAACTGTCACTCATGCCAGAATGGAACATAATTAAAAAATAGGTGTTTATTTGTTTTAAAATATCCGCAAAATATACTTAAAATGTGTATAAAATAAGAATAAGTATATAAACTCACAAAAAAGTAGTCATGTTTGGTATCGTTGGAAAGCTCTTCCGATGCTGAATAATGTATTGCAGTTTATATATCAGAAACGGTGTAGTGTTTCATGTATTGTCCCATAAAGTCCAATTATGGCATATCATATTAAAATAAACAGGACCCATTTGCGTAACTCGTGAGCTTTCGGATGGTGCGGGGGGGTGGGGTGCACTCCTACTACTACCTAACACATTACTACCAAGCCTTAAGTAACGCATGTGCTTTCTGGGCGAAGTCCGAGTTCAAATGGACCCTGGAGAGGGTTAGATACTTTTACTTACAGTAACACTGATACTCAGCACTCTCCTACAACGCCTTAACAATACGTAACATTTTCTATAATTTCCGAAAAAACCAAATAGACCAAAATCCCACAAACACAATATTTGGCAGATTTATTAGAAGGGTAACTATGCCCCTGGATGCCCCACTATGGAGGTTTGACCAGTTATGTAATGCCTGTGTGCTTTCTAGGGAAACGCTTACTTCCTCCATGTTCAAATGAGTCCCTGAAAGGCTACTACTTACTACTACCGAGGAATCTAATAATACAACCGCTTTTGACAAAATATTTTCTTTTAATTTTTTGAAAAATGTATGAGCCCCGGACGGCTGCATAACTACCCACCTTAAAGTCCGCCTCCGACTTTAAACATGTCAGTAAATAAAGAATAAAATACATGGTTATCCATCATAGTAGGCCTATTATTAAATATTATACACAGCATGTTGAAATCGATTAAATAATGTATCAATGCGACCTTAAAGGACGATCGGGTCATTTTATTCAGATTGGCCTTATCATGTTTCAGAGCAACATACTTTTTGGTATTAACGTAACACTTTATTAAAAACAATCAATGAATTTTGTTACTCAAACGTCTTTATATTTTCAAGAATATTAGATGACCTGAAGAAAAAGTGATCCAGAAGTCGTAG